ACTCCCTCTCTGCCCTCCATTTCTTCCCCACAGGTGGGCCAGGCCCTCTGCACTTTTTCACTTTTGATGGCATCACCAGCTCCAGATGTACCGCAGTCCCAGGGTATCTCAGGGGCATCAGAGAGGCTGAGGGGCCGAGGGCTAGGACTGGTGGTCAGGTTTGGAAAGGGCTGGCGAGCACTGGCCCGAGGTCATTAGTTTTTGTCCTGTGGAGTCATGCCTGCCTTCTTGAACATTCATGCTTACTCGTAACTATACTTGTGCACACACTCTGCACTGCCCAGACACTGCCACGGGCACTCTACAGACAGCCACCAGGATGTGTTGGGGTCCCTTAGCTGAGGAGTAGAGTATCCACAGCTGCCAGTGTTCCCGGCCCCCGGGAGAGTGAGGATCTGGCTTCAGTCTCTTGGTGTCTGACCTGCACACACGGACACCATCACAGGATGCTGGGGGACAGAGGGGACGCGTAGGAGGCTGGGCCAGGTCACATGCACAGGGAACAAGGCTCAGTGCAGGGCAACTCCTAGACATTGTCCCCATTCAACAGTCACGGCACTGAGGCTCAGGCCACAGTGGGGGTTCTCGGGCACCCCCCCAGCCCCTCCCCTGCTCCCAGCCTTGCCTCTGAGCTGCTCTCCCCCATCCACGGATAAAACATTTCAAACATATTTGAATAGCGATTTCAAGAACCAAGCAGCATATGGATTTTGCTTTTGATCTCAAAATGATGACAAACAGACACTTAGATACTTCATAAAAGAAATATCACCAGAAAAATGGTTGAAATCTGGCTTTCAACTGGGGCTTGCTCTAATTTAAACAAAATGCCACAGTCCAAGAACCATTCTTCCCCCAGCCCCACACACCATCATTCCCCTACTATAAGCCCAAACTAGAGGTTGCCTCTCCCCTGGGACCCCACCTACATATATCTAATCATAGCACTTAGTGAACCCTAATGAGTTTCTCCCAGCAGAGTGGAGACACCTGGGGCACAGAGACCAAGACCCCACACACAAGATCCTTCCTCAACACCCAAGCCTTGACCCTCCCCGCTCCAAAATTAAGTTTACCTGAGGTGATGCCCCAAGGCCTTTGGACTTAATGAGAAGTCTAAAGAAAGGGTAAAGGCAGAGAGATACTGCATCACCTGGGTTTCCAAAGCCTCTGTCCCTTAGGATCCTGAGAGCAACCCACTCTCTGACCCCAGGACACCCACCCACTCCTGTGGGCTGCTAGTGGCCTTGGGGCCATGGGGGAGGGGACACCATGGCAGCGAGGCACCCTGTGCTGTGGGAGGAAGCGGCAGGTGGCTGCCCTTCACACCCTCTCAGCCATGCAGGGACTTGGGGGCTGGGGTGGGCCTGGGACCCTGAGTGTGCCTGGGTCTGGCGTGCTTCCTTGGAGACCAGGCCCTCAGCGCTGGGCAGGCAGAGGGCGGAGGGCTGGGGGACCTAGACGGCCAAGATGCTCAGGCCTAGGAGAGGGGGCCCATCACCTGTGCCCCTCCCCAGCCCCAGTTTCTCCTTGGTGCAGGGCCAGTCTGCCTTCATCTGCCAGTGTCTCGCTCAGAGCGAGGAGCAGTGCACCCGGAGTCCCACCCTGTACCAGCATGCCTGCATTGCAGGGCTGAGGTGCCAGGAGCTTTGAGCTTTGTTCACTGCACCCCCCTTCCAAGACCCGCCCCCCACCCCCTGCGCTGCTGCTGACTTTGGGTGGCCCAGGCTCTAGCCCTGGGCCTTTCAGGGAGGCTAATCCCATCCCAGCAGGGAGGCGTGTGAAGACTCACATCCAACTCCCTAGCTCACCCCAGAAACTCAGGGACAGCGCCTGGATCCCCAGGAAAGTGGCTCCCTAAAGCACAGCTCCCTGGATTTATTTTGCTTCACTAAAATCGCGACATCTCAGATTCCTAATTGTCCTGGGACCAGAGCTGTTTTGGAGGAGGGGGTGACAGCACCTCTCAGTGGGCTGGTGTGTGTGTGTGTGTGTGTGTGTGTGTGTGTGTGTGTGTGTGTGTGTGTGTGGAGCAGGGAGCGGCTGCCTGCGGACGGGGCGGAGGGGCTGGATTATGTAAGCAACAGCCCTCGTGTGCTTGTCACCATCTGTTAATATTCTGATATTGGAAAGTTCAGTGCCTGATGCAAAGCCAGGGTGGGGGCAAAGGCAGGCCAGCCCACTTCTTTTTACTTTGGGCGCCCAGCGATCCTCCCCACCCCCCCATAAATCTTTGTTTTCACCCACTTCCAAATAATTAAGTGGCCCGAGGTCCTCTCCACCCCTGGCCCAGCCCATATTTGTTGGGGAAGTGAATTTCTTTGAGGACACTTAGTTGCCGTGAAACTTCCAAATGAATTCATATTTTTTTTTCCTTTTTGGGTCACACCCAGCAATGCACAGGGGTTACTCCTGGCTCTGCACTCAGGAATTACTCCTAGCGGTGCTTGGGCCATCATATGGGATGTTGGGAATCGAACCCGGGTCAGCCGCGTGCAAGGCAAATGCCCTGCCTGCTGTGCTATGGCTCCAGCTCTGTGAATTCATATTTTTATGATACCTCCAGGCTCCATCTGACCACCTGATTTGTATCTGAGGCTTTATCAGATTTTTTTCCCCAACTACTTTTTTCTGCCAGCACCCTTGGCCCCCAAATTCTTGTAAGGGTTATATTTCAACTTCTTTGCAGCCATTCACTCCTGTTTACTTTGAAAGCTGTTGGTTAAACAAACATCACTGGGAGAGTTCCGGGCAGCGCTGCTTCCAGAAGAGCCTGCAGCTGCTCCAGCTACTGATCTCATGGCATCTCACCCCCCCCAACACACGTACATCCGTGCACACACACATGCACACACGTATGCACATACACACACATTCAGAACAAATTCAGGGTGGGCTCTGCCCCCACTGGCCGTGGGGCTGCAGAGCAGGGTCTGACACCTGCAACCAGGCTGCGCGCTCTCTCTTCTCCCTTCTGGGCTGGGGGCTGCCACACGGATGCCTTATGCGGCAGACAAACGGCCTTGAGCTGTAATTCCCGCCCGCTGGATCCTGCTTGAAATGCCCAGAACAGGCTGTTCTGGGTCCCAGGAGGTGCTTCTGGGAAAGTCGGAAATGAGTTCCCCCCACCCAAAGACCTGAAGAGAGATGCCCCCTCCCCCCTACCCAGGGCACCTCTGAGAGACAAGTTTGCCTAGGAACTCACAGCTTCGATGTATACGAGCAGACGCTCAGGTGGGGCTGGGGGGTGGGTGATCCAGCAGAGCTGGGGTTGACTTTTAAGTTCTTGGGGTCCTGGTGGTCACGGAGAGGAGGGAGAGGTTGGCTAGACGGTTGGCCTCGGGGGTCAGATACGGAGCTTCTACCTAAGTGACTACGAAGCTGGTGGATGGCTTCTCCCCTCAAGGAATCCAGAGTCGCCCAAGCGGGGGCTCAGGTGCCTTTCAGCCCACAGCCGCTATTGAGTGGCGCGGGGCAGGGATGGTCTGTAGAGGGGCCCCGGTTCGGTCCGACAGACAGGGACGGCGGGCGGCCAGCAGCTCCGGGAAGATCCCGGCCGCTCACCGAGCCCGCCGGCTGTGAGCGCGGCTCCGTCGGCCCCGCCAGCCAGCCGACGCGCACGCACCCAGGGCGGGCGGCGAGTCTCCGCGCCCGCCCGCCCGAGGCCGGGCTCCAGGGAGCTCCCCGCTTTGCGCGAGGCTGGCCTCAGGATTGCGGTGCTCCGGGGCTAAGAGGGGATTTGGTGGGACCTGAAGGGAACTTTCCCCGCAGCCGGTCCGGCGCAGCGCCTGCAAAAAGGCATGCTGGAGCGCTCGGTGCCACCGTCTGTCACGCATGCACGTGTGTGCAGAACTCCCAGTGCTCTCCTTACGGCTTCAGCAGCACCCACCCTTACTTGCGGCCACTCCCCGCCCCCTCCTTTTCTTTAAATGTCAGGCTGGGCAGATGGTTTTAAGGTACCCAGGGCATGCGCCCTGCTACCCTTTCTCCTACCAGTTTATTTTGTGCGTTGGTGCTAACATATGTACCAACAGGAATACCTCGAGAAAAAAATAATCAAGGCACGGAGACTAGAAAGGAACTTTGTCCTTTCAATAGACCCTCCAAATCACTCCCACTTCATCCACCCGCTTACCTCGAAAGGACCCAACCAATAGAAACCTTTTTCCTTCCTGCAGCCCTAAGGCCAGCGAGCGCTTGTCTGCGCCTTGAGACTGGGCGGTTTGCGGTGGCTGCCCCGTGGTTGCCCTCACAAAGCTCCGGTCTATAGAGCCGTGGGCGGTGTGTTTGCAGCCCTGCTCGGCAGCGGGCGGATTGGGGTGGGGTGGGGGGATTTCTGAGCGGCTGGCGCCGCAGCCAGCTCTTTCCTTCTCCACAGCCTAACCTGGCCGGCATGACTTCTTCCCCTTTCCACTGTTTGAAACGCGTGCCAAAAGTTCCCCTGATGTTGGACGCAGACACAGTATCCTCTAATCCTGTGTGCGCTCATCTTTCTTCTTCCAAGAGAAGACTTTGTATCCTTTTTACAGGTGGCTAAATTGCAGGCTCAAAATATGAGAGAGAGAGAGAGAGAGAGAGAGAGAGAGAGAGAGAGAGAGAGAACACGCACCCGCAGGTGTGTGCCTGGACACTGCCAGCCCTGGCTGTGGTGCTGCTGCTGGTGGTTGTCAGTTGTGGGTCTGTGCACGCTAACATACCTCAAAAATGCCCTGTTGTGCCGAAACAGAAACAACAAGATCCGACCCCTACCTTTGATGTGATCTGACTGGAGGGACAGTCGAAAATTACCCGTTTCCCCTCTTCTCTGTGAAAACCCGGCATATATAATCAACATCATAATCATAAAATGAGTGTCTGCGGGGCGGCCCGGCGCTTGGTTGTCTCTGCTCGGCTGCCCCCGCACATCTCAACATTTGCAGGACCTTGAAGCCACAGTCGAGGCTGCTTCAGTAAAAGCCGTTTCCCGACTGGGCGCGGGAACCGCGGCGCAGCCTCGCTCGGGAGCTTTGTAACTCGCAGCCCCTCCACCAGCCCCCTCGGAGACCCCCATCAGGAAACCGTGTCTAGCTCAGCCAAGAAGTGCCCGTCGGGCAGCGCGTTCCGCGGGGACGCCCAACCTGTCAGCATTTGGATTTTCTTACCGAGTAAAACTTTCAAGTTTGTTACCCAGCCGTCAAGACTGTAAATCCTGCGGGCACCTGGCGGGTCGGTCCCCATGAGCTGGGGGTGCTGAGGGGAGTGGGGGCGGGGGACAATCGCGAGGTCAGGGCGCTCACTATCTTTTCCTGTCTTCACCGCCCCCCCAAGGTTGCTGGACCTACGCCCCAAACGTTGGAGGTAAGCAAGGGCAACTGTTCCTCCTTCTGGCTGCCCCGTGCACGGGACACTGCCTGGGACGCAGCCAGGCTGTTTCTGGGCGCAGAAGCCGCGGACGGAGCTCTGGCACGGATCGCTCTAAGCCCGCCGCCTACCTGTCTCCGCGCATCCACCTCCCCGGGAACCGGCAGCAGGGGCGGGAGGGGCCGCATCCTCGACACCCCCGACCCGCTTTCACAGCTGGGGGGCCGCTGGGAGCCTCCCACTTCCTCCTGCTGCCCCCCACCCCCAGCGCCACTTTCTCTCCCTCGTACTTTTCCGCGCCGTCCCGCACCCGAGTCGGAGGCGCGCGCGCTCTCCTCCGGCCCCGGCGCTGGGCCCCCTCGGTCGGCTCGCTCGGGTCTGGGCACCGGGCAAAAAGAAGGGGCTGCGGGGCGGGAGCGAGAAGAGGGCAAGGAAAGGGGGGACGCCGCGGGAGCCGCCCGCGGCCCGGCCGAGCCCGAGCCGAGCGCCGTCGCGCCCCGCGCTCCCGCAGATGGCCAGTCGGGCCGGGCGCGGCCGTCCAGCGCCCCGCGGCGGGGGCAGGGCGGGCGCGCGGGGGCGGGGCGGGCGCGGGGCCCCTCTCCCCGCCTCGCTCCCCGGCCCCGCACCCCCACCCCGGGGCCGGATTTTTTTTTCCTCCTCCCAAGTTCTCTGGCCTCGCTATCCCCCCTTGGAGCCGAAGGCGCCTCGCGATTGGGTGCTGGGCGCGGGTACGTCAGTCAGACTGTGACGTGCGGCCTTCCTGTTTCCTTCAGCTGTGTCTTAAAGTAAATCTTGCCGGGCAGCCGAGCCTCAGCCGCGGGAGCGCTCGCGGAGCCACAGCGCTGCAGCCGGGCCGGCCAGCGAGCGGCGAGCGGCTCCCGGAGCCACGGGCCGTGCGCCCTGTCCGCGCCCGCCCGCCCGCCCGCCCGCGCCCGCGCGGTGGCCGCGACCCCCGCCCGCAGCCCGCTCCGCCGCCGGCCGCTCCGCGTGAGTACCCTGCGCCGCGCGCTCCCGCCCCCGCTGCAGAACCGCTGGTCCCCGCGCTCCGGGATGGCGAGCGCCCCGGGCAGCGACCCGTCCCTTCCGCCGCGGCCAGACTCGCGGGGGCCGGCGTTTTAATTTTTCACACCCCCCGCGACGTGGGAAACGGTCTTATTCCCACGAGCCCCCAGCGCAGAGCCCCCCAAACAGTTTCTCAGCAGCACCTCGCCGAACTCCGCGCTCCGCGCTCCGCTCGCTAAGAGTAAGTGAGGTTGTTTGTTTGGTTTTTGGGGTTTTTTTTTTTTTTTGGTCGGGGGTGATTTTCTTTCTCTTTCCTGCTGCCGGCCGGGGGTGGCCAGGATGGAGGACTGGGGGCGGGGGCGGTGTTGCTGGACTTGTCGCTGATCTTGTCACCTTTTGTGCACTCTTTCCGGGGTGCCTGGAGGCGCGCTGCCGCTCCCCGCTCCCCGTGCCCCCGGCCGCGCTCCTCGGGAGAGGCACCCCGAGAGGGCACGGGCCGCTTTTTTGTTGTCGTGGCTCTGGATCCCCGCTCTGCGCCGAGCCTCCTCCGAGCCCGGGTCCCGGGGATGAAACTCCTGCGCCGGTCCTTCTCCTTTCTCTTTGTCTCGTTTATTATAGCCGCCTTTCTCCGGGCGCTTGCGATTTGCTTGTTATTTGCATACCTTTCCCTTCTCCCTGTGACCCCCCAGCTGAGGGCCGGGGAGGAGGGTGGCCAGTTGGTGGGGGGCGGCAGGAGGGGGGCGCTCTGATGACTTCGCTCTCGGCCCCGCCGTGGAAGCCAGAGCGCTGGGATGGGGCCGGGCAGCCGCGCGCTGCGCCCGCTCCCGCGCCCCGGACGCCGGCCGGCGGGTGAGGCTCGCGCTGGAAGGCCGCCCCGGGGGCCGCGCGGGTGCGGGGAGCGCAGGGGCCGCAGGGCGGCGCGGCCGGGGGTCTCGGGCGGCCGACGGCGGGGCGCGGGCGCGCTGGTCCTCGCGGGGACCGCGGAGTGAGGCCGCTCGCCCCGGGGCGCGCCCCGCGGTTCTGCTCGCGTTCCGCGGAGCACAGAGAATCTTCTCGCTGAGGAAGCACAGCTGTCTGGCGGGGACGGACAAGGAGGTCTGCACCGACCGAGAGGTTGCGGGAAGCGGAGGGGGCGCATCACCCCAAGTGCAGTTTAGCTAGTCACTTCTGCTAGGTCGGGATGGAGAATGGAGTGGGCTGGGGAGTCCGAGGGAGGGAGAAGATTTGGAGACACTCCCAGATTCCGGGTCCACCTGCCCTTCTCCTTGGGAAAGGAGAGCACCACCGCCACCCCCCACGCCCCCGCAGAAAGAGCGGGCAGGAGAGACAGAGCCTAAGGAGGAGGCTGCCGAGGAGGCAGGTTGCTGGGGGAAGCCGAGTTCTTGGCAGAGCAGAACCTGCGCCTGCGGGGAGGAAGGCAGAAACTCACCTGCTTGCTTTTATTTTTTCCGAGAAGGTCTGCGGTGCCTCCTTGAGCTTGTGAAAACAGAGCGAGCGGGGTATGGCCTTCTGGAAGTCCAGACTCAGTTCATTCTGCTCCTTTCTCCCCCGCCCTCCTCCCCTGATTAAAAAAATATATATATATAACAATAACAATAATTTCCTTTCCTAAACCAAATAGGCAGAGGTCACTTAACTGAGTGCGTGACAGGTGTGTTGTGTCAAGAAAGACAGGTGCAAACTTCCTCTGTGCATGTGTGTGTGTCACCGTTCCAGACCCCAGCGCCTGCTTGGGGCTGGGAGAGTTTATGAATTTATGGTCGCTGTGTTTAATAGGATTGTCCCTGCTAATGGAGCTGGGCTGTTGTTATGTTTTGAGCCCCACCATGAGAGCTTTGGCCCAGGCTGGGGATCAACTTGGTGTGTGTTTGCTTATTCTTTCTTAAAAATGTTGGCCTCTGTTCCTGGCCGCTGCCTGGCAGGTGGCTGAAAGTAGTCCCGTCTGGCCGCAGGTGAAGGGAGATTGGCTTTGCTTGGTTTGCAGTTCTGTGGTGGCAGCACCAGGGAGTGTGTGTGTGTGTGTGGGGGGGGGGGTGCATGGGAAGTGAGTGTGCATGTGTGTGCATATGTGTGCTGGGCAGCCCATGACTGGTGTGACCAAGTGCCAAGAATCCCAAAGTCAGTTTGTAAGTGTGCTTTTCAAGTGTATCTGGTTAGCATGCCTTCTTCCCACCCAGCAAGAATAGGTAGGCATATGTTAAATACTCCCCAGTAAGCCATCGCTATCCTGGTACCAGACATGTGCCAGAGGTCCTTGTTCTTACTGGGATGCAGGAGCAAAGTCTTAAGTCACAAGGGGTAGTTCTGCTTTTCCGGGGCAGTCAGTGGACGAGGAGTTTCTGACAAGAACTTGTGAGTATCCTCCACCCCCCAACAAACGGGCTTCGTGATGAGCAAGAGCAAGAGATAAGTGATGAAATGAAATGGCAGTTTAGATGGGCTGGATGTATGAGGGAGACGTGGAGAAGGAACAGAGTGGATGCAATCGGTGGGAGACCAGAATCTGGATCCCTCACCCTCAACCTGTACGTTTTTTTTCCTCTTCAAATGAGCCACTTCTTGAGTTGCAGGGCAGAGGTTAGCTGTGGTTTTGCTTACTTGGATGGTGATCATTGTTTCATGAAAAATGAGAGGACCCCGTCGGCCAGTCTTTGGACAAACTTACGAATTCTCCTTGACATTTTTCCTTCGGTGCTTTTGTTAATTTTCCTTGGGTTCCTTTGAAGTTCTTTAATAATGAAAATATCATTGATGAACCTATGGATGTATCCATTTGCTTTATTTTCAGTCAAGTACCTGAACTCAGTGATATTTTTCTCTGTCCATTATGCAGAATTTTCTCTAGTTTAATCACCATCGTGCGTTTAGAACGTGCATCTTTGTTTGCGTTATTCAGTTCCTAGCATCCTTCCTTGAGAAGCAGTGCCGGCAATCTTAAGATGTGAGTTAGCTGCCAGGCTTTCCTCTATCTGCTCAAAGTGGGAATGGAATCTTTTCCATGAATTTCTCCTATTATTTTCAGGGATCATCTTCCACTTTCAACTGTTTATGCCAGGAATTTTTAGCAGTGGGGTTATAAAGAAATTCTAAAGTGCTCTGAATTTTGTCATTTGAAGTTGGGTTCACTAGATATATATATATATATATATGTATATATATATATACATACATACATATATATTAGGATAAATTGGAAAGAACATGTACATAAGGATATCTCAAGCCTTAATGTTTAAAACATTTAGAATATTTCTGTTTTCTACCAAAAACAAAATTGTTGGGTTTTTTTCCCCCCTTAAGATCATTTGTCATTCTCTTTTGTTTACAAATCTGGTGAATTGTTACTTTTATAATATATATGTTTAATGTATATGTTTTTGGTATATCTCAGAAAATGGGTCTATTTTGCAGGTGGAAAATGTGTAGGACAAAGTGGTGTGATGGCAGCCCTGTGAGCGACATGCTTAGAGAGGAGCATCTAAACCCAGAGAGTGCTTCCACAGTGTGATCTTAGCTTATTGAAGCATTCGTTTGTGCGGGTGGCTTCTTTAAAATGAACGCCAGAGGCTTTCCTCCCTGAGTATGAAGCTGGAACTTCTGGTCAGACTCAGTTTCTAATGAGCAGAACTGCACTCCTACTAGAGGGTGGGGTGGGGTGAGAGCACCCAAATCAAATTACCTGCTCCCCCACTCCATACACACACTTCAGTTCTGATCTCCAGATTGATTTTAAATGTTCTTTGTTCAGAGAGTCCATGTGAAATTTCATGGCCAGGTTGGCCCAAGTAGGTGGGAGGCCCAAGGCGCACATGGAGGTCATGTTTGAAACATATCAGAGTGTAGGCTTGGGCAATGCCTTCAAATCAGTTGATCAACAATGACAGATCATCTAAGTAGCCCAAACAGGAGCCCGTGCCAGGCTATAGTCCCCACGGCTCATCCAAGGGCTGTCCAAACTGTCTGCAGAATTACCATTAATGAAACACTGCTTTGTCCAGGAGGTTGAATTCCGGTAGATTCCTAAAATTGGTGATTCTCATCCCCCAAATAGCTTCCTTATCCTCGTCGCACACTCGGCCATGTGGATGCGACACCGCCTCTTCCTTTGACCCCCATCCCAAGAATCCTTGTCTCTTAGTTCTGCTCATCAGAGGCTGAGAGTCCTCCATGCTAACCAGAATGCTGGGGCTTTCTGACAGGGAGCAGTCCTGCTCTTCCACAGTGACACATGCTGATTTGTTTTATATTGTCTGTTCTTTGGGGACTCTGGGCTCAGATGGCCTTTGTGGAGGACTTTTTCAGGCATTTGTGTGGTCAGATATCAGGTGCTCAGGCCGTTATTTCGTAATAGGAATATTCTATTGATTCTCTGCATTTGGGGATGTTCACAGGAGTGCAAGTGCTTAGGGGAATTGAACGTGGGTCCCCAAGAATGCTTTGGAGGTGAGGTTCTCTCTGAGTATTTTTCCTACTGATACAGTTGGTCAGTGAGGCTCACCAAACTGTTTTATGTGGCTACTTCAACTCCCAGTGAGTGATAAAATTGGAAGAGAAGGAGCAAACTGGTTGGGAGCTGATACATGATGGTGTCTAGTGGAGATGTTGAGACCTACAGGACTTTTTGAAAATCAAAGTGGACAGACTCTGTCAGGATAAAACCATCGGCTGCTGCCTCTAAACCCTGCCCTGGGAAATCACAGCCGCGTTTGGAAAATGTCTGTCAGTGATTGAATTTACGTGCTCGTCATTTAACATGGCATTTTCTCAGGTGGTCAGTATACTCACATGCATATCTTGTTGGGGGCAGGGAAGCACGATGCTAGTCAAGTTCTCTCTGAACCAGCTTTAATAATTTCATCTTGCCTGTAGCCAGTGTGGATTCTGGTCCACCTTTGTTTCTGAGTTTAGGTTCAAACTCTATGGGGAAAGAGATTTATTTGGGCTTATTCGTGGATTTCCTTGACTTCTGTAACACAGGGTTTCCCCTATTCTTCTTCCCCTTCCTTTTGGTCCTACAAACCACGTCTCAGCTGGACATCAGACAGCATGACCTGCAAGAGTTTGCATTCTCTTGACCCCCAAAGGGAAACGATCATTACAGCATCTGAAAATTATCGACTGCGTGAAAGATCGCAGAAATCCATTGAGTCAGGTGCATTGTGAGAAAGTGGCAGGCTTGCTGGTCCCGGAGAGCAGCACAGCAGGCTGTGACAGCCTGTGTCTGTCTGAGGGGAGATGAGGAGGGTTCTTTCCACCTTCTGAAGCTCAGCCTCCTCTTGACTCTGAATGAGGCAGGGGTGCAGCTGTTCCTACCTGGGGCCAGAGGAGAGGAAGGAGGCTGCAGGCAGGGCCACACTTTCTAGCCTGGACTGGGGGTGGGGGTCAGGTGCTTTACTGAGCAGCAGAAGGAAAATGCAGTGGGGGGGGGTTGGAGGGGGGTGCAAAAGTTTGTTGGACATTGATGGGAGATACCAAGGGTTCTCCGTTGCTTGCGATAGAGAAAAGGGATTGTGCCCAGAAATTGATTCCACTTTTAAGATAATAGCAATGGACTCGTGTTTGGGGGTGCCTTGGAAGTCCCTTTGATGGAGACCCTCCTCTGGTGGCCCCCTCTATGAAGTATTTCTCCAAATTGAAATGACTTGTCTGTTTCTGTTGACCTCTCCTCTCTCCTCTCCTCTCTTCTTCTCTCACCTGACACCCCCCCCCACCACCGAAAGCCCCAGTGATTTACTGAGATATTTCCCATTGCATGTCTGTGTTCCAGCTGATTTTACTCTTGGGGTGCAGAAGGTTTTCTATATTTCAAATACGATTTCCCACCCAACATTAAAATTATTCAGCTCTGTGGCCATGCCCAGTTCAGGACATTTGATACAGAGACAAACCAAAAAGTATTTTCTCCCCAGACATCTGACACTGTAGCAGGAGACATCATATTGCTGTCAGCTGCCCCCTTTTTCAAATGTTTTCTAGAAATCAGGAGAAGGGCTACATGGCAAACTCTTTGTCACTTAAAAAAATAAAAAAGGAAAGATAAAGGACGGGCTTTGCATTTGAGCATCGAGTACGCTCTTGATTTTTACAGGTTATTTCATGCTGAAATTATGCCTATCTGCATGGATAGTCATTCTTTAAAACTAACCACAGATGCCGTCCTAGGGTGCACGTAGATGTTTTCACAGGTGAACCGAAAGAGGCGGGCGCAGGTCCAGGCACTCCACACGCCGCCTTTGGCAACACAGCCTGTTATTGTGACGACGCGCTCTCTTAAGCCAACGTGAAGTTTAATATTAGATCAACCCGGAGTGAAAGAAATATTTTCATTTTCTTCATGAAATGTTCATGGCAGGCGAAAAGGTGTGACATGCTATATGGCCACCAAATCTGGGACGAGGCAGCATTCCCAGCTAGGAAGTCCCGGAATCTGTCAAGTGCCGTTTATGCAATGCGAAGGATCTTTGAGCCGGCGCCCCCAAGAAACAATGGGGGTTCAAAGGCAGGAGCCTCTCCCTCATGCTCCTGTTTGAAGGCTATTTTCTCTCTCCCTTTTATATCCTCTTCCAGCCTTTTTGTCTGTGCTTTCTATCATTTGGAGTAAGAAATAAGAGGCACCAACCGTGAGTGTGAAAGAATTTTTTTTTTAGGCCTTGGGGGTGGGGGTGGGGGGGTTAGTCTGATTTTACCAGCAGAAAACCTGACTGAAGAGAGAATTTTCCTTGCCAAACTCGAAAATTTATTATTCCACCTGTCAGTTTCTGAATGGTGACACGTCCTCCTCTTTGAGACCAACTTGAGAAGTCATCAAAAGGGCATCGTGGGCATTTATAAATATTCTCATGATCCCGTGAAAATGTAGCAACAGATACTATCATCACATTTCATTTTACTAGTCCAAAGGCGCCTCTTCTAAACAAGCAGCGTGTGAGGTGTGTGCACTTGCGGGTCTCAATGTTACGTGGTTGCTTAGGTTGGAAAGATGCTGGGGTGGTGACGACGGGTGGGGGAATCTCTCCTCTCCTTTTCACATCTGACAGAAAAGGTGGTAAAATTCATGGGTGGATGGGCTGTTCTTGAGTTTGCGAGGAGGCGCTCTCCTTTTTGTCACATCCCCACCAACATAATTTCGATCCAGAAAATGAATTTTTATCCAAATTGCCTGCCATCTCCCCATTTATTCCTTCAGAATAGTCCCACTTTCTGTTAATACAAACCTCAGGGTCCAACTTTCATCAGGCTGTGTTCAGAAGAATCTACTATTTCTTCTGAAGATAAACAGTATCATTTTAGGCATTTGCAACAGAGAATCATATTACTGGTGCTTAAGCAGTTTTGGCTTTTTTTTAAATCTTAATCCATCTTAAACCAGTGGAGCAGAAATATTTAAAAATGTTTCCTTTCAAGCAGAGTGCATAATAAATTGCAATAATTGTAATGTGCCATGAATCCCAGAGCCTATGCATTTTGCATTTGATTCAGGATTGAGGTCAGGAAATTTGGAGAAATTTAAAGAAAATGATTCATCAGTCCTTTTGTTCTGTTGGCCAGGGTCCCGGGATTCTTGAGCTGTGCCCAGCTGACGAGCTTTTGAAGATGGCACAGTGACTGCCCAGCAATGCCCGACCATGACAACACAGCCCTCCTAAGCCGGCAGACCAAGAGGAGAAGAGTCGACATCGGAGTGAAGCGGACAGTTGGGACAGCGTCTGCATTTTTCGCGAAGGCCAGAGCGACCTTTTTCAGTGCCATGAATCCCCAGAGCTCAGAGCAGGATGGGGAGTACTCGGTGGTGCAGCACGCAGACGGGGAGAAGTCCAACGTGCTCCGCAAGCTGCTGAAGAGGGCGAACTCGTACGAAGACGCGATGATGCCTTTTCCAGGAGCGACCATCATCTCCCAGCTGTTGAAAAATAACATGAACAAAAACGGTGGCAGCGAGCCCAGTTTCCAAGCCAGCGGCCTCTCCAGCACGGGCTCCGAAGTCCATCAGGAGGATATATGCAGCAACTCTTCGAGAGACAGCCCTCCCGAGTGTCTTTCCCCGTTCAGCAGGCCCGCCCTGAGCCAGTTCGACATGGATCGCTTCTGTGACGAGCACTTACGAGCCAAGCGCGCCCGGGTGGAGAACATCATCCGGGGCATGAGCCATTCCCCGAGCGTGGCGCTGCGGGGCCACGAGGCCGAGCGGGAGATGGCGCCACAGTCAGGGAGCCCCCGGGAAAGTTACCGGGAGAACAAGCGCAAACAGAAGCTGCCGCAGCAGCAGCAGCAGAGTTTCCAGCAGCTGGTGTCGGCCCGCAAAGAGCAGAAGCGTGAGGAGCGGCGGCAGCTGAAGCAGCAGCTGGAGGACATGCAGAAGCAGCTGCGCCAGCTGCAGGAGAAGTTCTACCAGATCTACGACAGCACGGACTCGGAGAACGACGAGGACGGCGATCTGTCGGAGGACAGCACGCGCTCCGAGCTCCTGGACGCCCGGGCTCCCGACTCGGGCGGCCGCTCCGACACCGAGCTGGACCCGGGCCAGTTCATCGACCGGGCCCGGGCCCTGATCCGTGAGCAGGAGCTGGCCGAGAACAAGCCCAAGCGGGAGGGCAGTGGCCACAAGGACCGTGAGCTGGGGCCCCACCCCGGAGGCAAGCACCTGGCCGAGACCCTGAAGCAGGAGCTCAGCTCAGCCATGTCGCAGGTGGTGGACACGGTCGTCAAGGTCTTCTCAGCCAAGCCCTCCTCCCGCCAGGCGCCTCAGGTCTTCCCCCCCGTCCAGATCCCCCAGGCCCGCTTTGCCGTCAATGGGGAGAACCACAATTTCCACACGGCCAACCAGCGCCTGCAGTGCTTTGGCGACGTCATCATCCCCAGCCCCCTGGACTCGTTCGGCAGTGTGCAGATGCCCGGGGCCACGGACCAGACGGAGGCCCTGCCCCTGGTGGTCCGCAAGAACTCCTCTGACCAAGGGGCCTCCGGGACCCCCGCCGGTGGCCACCACCAGCCCCTGCACCAGTCACCCCTGTCGGCCACGGCGGGCTTCACGGCGTCCACATTCCGCCACCCCTTCCCCCTGCCTCTGATGGCCTACCCGTTCCAGAGCCCCCTCGGTGCTCCCTCTGGCTCCTTCTCAGGCAAGGACAGAGCTTCTCCCGAATCCTTAGACTTGACTCGGGAGACCACGAGTCTGAGGACCAAGATGTCGCATCACCTGAGCCATCACCCCTGCTCTCCAGCGCATCCGCCCAGCACCGCCGAAGGCCTCTCCCTGTCGCTCATCAAGTCCGAGTGTGGTGACCTTCAGGACATGTCTGAAATCTCACCCTACTCGGGAAGTGCAATATCCTTCTATCTCCCCTGGGGAGGGCATTTCCCAGTCCCTCCCGCGGGCAGGTCGGTGCCTACTGCTCGAGGCCCCCGTCTCTTCCTTGCTTTGGTCCCCAGCAGGCACACACACCCTCAGGACCCATCCCTTCCAAGGCCAAAGCTGTCCCGAGCTCAGGGCCGCCGTCGGGGCCACCGTCGGGGCCATTTAGTCCGTGTTTATTCAGCAGTATTTCCACTCTGCTGCCCCTCCCCCTTCGGTGTGAGAGTTAACACCGGAGATGGAAATATAGATAGGTGTGTATATATATTGGAGTATATATAGGCATATGTGGGGGTCTGGCAGGCCCGGCATGTGCTCAGGGCTTGCTCCTGGGGCTCAGAATTCTGTTTCTAGCCAGGGAGACAGACTCAGGACTCTCTGTTTCTGCCCATCAGACAGGCAGCGTGTAAGGCAGGTGCCTTAACCCCTGCCCTGTTTCAAGCCCCAGCCCCCAGTAATTTTTTTTCAAAGGTGGTGTGTCTTCTTTCAGGGTAAGGGGGAGGAGCGGGTTCAGCTCCCCAAGTTATTCCGGAGGATTCGTCCTTGCGAGCCAGAGACAGGCCGGGCTGGGTGCTCCCATGAGATTTCCGGGGAGCCAGGGATGGCGCAAGGCAGGGGAGGCCTAGCAGGCCGGTGCTGGGCCCCAGTGGAAGGCCATTTGTCCCTCATCGTGAGGGAGATGCCCAGGTACTGACCCTCAGGCCCCCAGTGCCGTCGCCCCAGGTCTGCTCTCAGCTTACTGCAGCTGCTCCTATGTGTGACCAGCCTCCCCTCTCCTCAGCCAGACACAGAAATCTTTTGTCCTAACTTACACAAAGCAAATTATTTGGGAAAGCGAGAGTGCCCAATTAAATACAAAACTCAGCTGGATTCGACTTAAGCAATGGTGGTGTTGGCGGCTCCCCATGCTCCCGGGTGGGGGGTGCAGTCAGGTCTTTAGGGGGGTCTCCTGATCCCCAGCTATTTTTAACTGCTAATAGCTCAGGATGGGGGCGGGGGCTTGTTTGTTTGTTCTTGTAAATAGATCCGGGTGTGTTGTGTAGGAGAGGGGCGGTGTCAGGCTTTGTAGCACCACCAGGCAGGTTGGAGCAGTGACGTTGGCTGGTGCTGGCATCTGGGTACCGAGGCCTGGAGAGGTGGTGCTGCTTCTCTCTGGCATCACTAGCCAGTGCTCAGGAGGGTTGAGGGCTCCAGTGAAGCCTGGGGAGCGCTGGGGGTCAGGCTGAAACCACCACCAAGACCCCAGAACCAGAGGGTCTGAGGCAGGTGGGGCTGATCCTGAGGGTCAGGCGGGAGCCGGGGGCCTGGAGTGGAAGGGCAGGGGGCAGAAGTGCATGGCCAGTGCCTGCACGTCCCGGCACCGGGCCAGCGGGGACACAGCCCCAACCTGGAACCCAGTGACAAGAAAGGCACTGGGGATGGCGCCACGGCCCCCCGAGGGTCTCACCCATGGCAGGAAAGCATCTCTGGGACCCAGGTTAGCCCATATCTAGAGCTCGACCCTCTGGCTCCTCCGAGACCCCTTCACTTAGCTTTAGAGGCAGGATTTTAAATCAGAATATGGGCAGGCAGGCCGTCTGTCTGTCTCTCTTACACACACACTTTTAACTTTTTTTTAAAGCCAGTATTATAATCGAGGAGGCAGGCAGGCAGGCTGCCCAGCTGTCTCCTCTCTCCCACCCTGCAGTGGGCACACGCACATATGCACACACATGCACACACACGCACATATTCACACATGCACACGCAATCACACACATGCACGCACACAGTTGCACACATACATACACACGTGCACAAATGCACACAATCGCGTACACGCACAAATACCACACACACACACACACACACACACACACACGCACACACTTTGGTGACTGTCTGAAGCCGGGCTGTGCTAAAGTTCTTTAAGCAGGATGCCAGTTTGTTTTCTCTTTTTTAATTAGACGTTGCTTTGTAACCAGATAATTGTGGCCGTGCTTTCTTTTCTTTTTCTTTGAAAAAGTAAGTTGGGGTCTTCCGAGCAGCAAATCTTTCAAATTGCTTTAAGGGTTGGCTATGCTAATTGTCTCAGCATCTCTAAATCCCCTCAGGAATTCTGAGGATCTGAATGGAGAGAAGTTCTTTTATTCCTATACATATGGAGGCCTGACAGCAGCACTGCTGCTTCAGCTGGATTATTTCTCCTGCCAGCCTGCGAGTCTGCAAACCCTGTTCCTAGGACGTGCTCCTTGTGCGCGCCCCATCTAGCTGCTCCCATAACTAAATAATCTGAGCCTCTTGTCCCGGCGAATGGTTCCGTCTTCCACCTCTGACCTTCTCTCCTGTTCCTTTCTCTCTCCCTCTGCTCCCAGGCCCTTTCCAACGTCTGTCTCATGGAGACCTTAGCTCTCGTCAGGGAGAGAGTTCTCAACAGGCGGCCTCCTGGGCTGAGAAACTGAAGCTGGAGGAAGTGAGTGAGGCCCCCCCCAGGGCCCTCTCCCCAGCTGCCTCCTAGCACTGAACTGACTTGACTTACCTGCCAAGACGTTGCTCTTGGACTCTGACGTGAGGCGGCCTGGCGAGGACGGTCTGGCTGGGCTGGGGTGGGGGGGCGTGAGGCCCTCTGAGCCTTCTGTAGGAAAAGAGTGGAGTAGGAATGGCGCCCCGTGGGCCACACTGCTGACCCTTCTTGAGGGCTTGGGGTGCTTTGGGTACATTGTGTGACGTCATGATGATTTGATTCTGGAAGGATGATTAGGTCCTATGCTGGATGGCATCATCGGTTTTTTCTTTTCTTTTTTTAGCTTTTATGTATAATTGTAATTGCTTTTTTAAAAAATTGAATCACCGTGAATTACAAAGTTACAAAGATATTAATGATTGAGTTTCAGGAGTGTATATGCTGTCCAACACCAATTCCTTCACTGGTGCCCGCTACTCTCCACCAATGCTCTTTTTTGGGGGGGAATGAAATTGTCTGGCAGGGACTGACTGGAGCAGCAGCTTGTCACGTGTTGATGCTGGGTGTGGCCCCTTCAGCACCTCTGCTCCGAAGACTGAAACACGTGTCCTGTGCGGCCAGTAACCCGTTTGTGTCCCCACGCGCATGACCCTGCACCTGAGCCACGCGCTTGTGTCTTGGATAGATGTGTGTTTAGTATCTTTGCAAATGCCTGTCTCTAATCAAATATTAAGTTTTATTCAAATCCCCAAAGAAACGGCGGCCAATTATTTTCCTTGGTCCTGTCCTTGTCACTTACCCTCTTTGCATCTCAAGAAAAATAGTTTTGTTTAGGGCCCCAAGCATTTGCATGGCCCCAATTAAAGCACAAGAGTGGTATTATGAGCATTAGAAGCCTACAGGTGAGGAGACCCAGTTACCCCCTGCCAGCCTGCCTTTCTCCCCGCAATTGGACTTTTAGGGGAGAAGGCTGAAAAAGTGAGAACGCATTGCAGGTTTAGAAAGGCACATGGTTTCGTCATTTGAAACCAAAGTCCACCTGAAAAACCCAGATTGAGAATGCAGTTCTAAAATGTGAAATAACCTGTTGACTTTGGTCTTTTCCACCCTTCAGAAGCCTCGAGGGTGGGAGGGGGTGTGTACCCCCCTATAGCTCTGTTATTAGCTATTAAGGAGAAAATTTTTCAAGAGGCAAAGACTCTGGCTGCTCACCCTGCCATACCCCCGCCCCAAATCGTGAGATGATTCCATTCAAACAAAATAAACAGCTCTCTCCGTGCCCATGCCCAGCCCATCCTGTGGGACTCTTTTCTTATTGAAGCAGCGCCTGCTGACTTTGGGGGGAGGTTCCCATCTTCTCTCCCCTGCTCCAGAGAACGGTCTGGGAACAGCGCCCCACTGCCTGGGTTCCTTGGACTGAGGAAAACGCAAGCCTGTGGCCCCAGCGCTGCTAACTGGACTTGAGCGGGTGGGGTGGGGTGGGGGAGCACCGGTGGTGCCTCCCGCCGCTGCCCAGGCTCTCTTGTCTGCTCTCATTTCACTTGCCTTTTGCAGCCGCGGTCCCTCCCGCTGCGGCTGTTTAGGTAAGGTTAGCTTGTGCTGGGTAAACAGACAACACTTGCAGGCAGGTTGTTTGAACACCGCTCTGGGTTCAGCTGCGGTACCCTGCCCCTCTGATCTTTTATATTCCTGAGCAGATGTCTTTCATTAATTTATGGATTTATCATCTTTTCTTTCTTTTTTCTTTTTCTTTTCGGGTTTTTTTTTTACACCTGGCAGCTGTCTCAAGTTTCAGCAGTTATTGTCCTGTTTTGCATTGCACATAGAATTGAATGTCATCTGTCTTCACAAAGCTATGGCTAAGAGAATTGAGGCAAAGCCATCGGAGCTGCCAGGACGGGTCTGCTCTATGCTGCACCCCCCTCCCCCACCCCCTGTACCTCCTTAATATTTATTTGTGCTCATTTTCTTTCCTGGCCTTGAATGGAGCTTAGCTCGCGTTCGGTACAGCTGTATGTTTACTGAATCTATTCCATCATGAGTCATTGTGCGTGTGTAAGTATCCTGGAAACAGCCCGTGCTTTCTTGGAAGAACAGTTGCTTTTCAGCACAAGCACTTAAAAGGGAAATTAACCAATTGGTCAGTTCAGATTTATTTTGAGGAGAAAAAAAGGATTATCTAACTGTTGGCTTTTAACTGTTTCATTAGCTATTTTTAATAGTTTATTAGGAACATATATTTTATTAGAATTTTATCTTAATTGCACAATGACTGAGAGATAAAGGTCTTTTTTTTTTTCCTCCCTGTGTTCCTTCTGAGCTGATCGATTCCAAGTATTGCCAACCGGAAATATTTTAAAGCAAAAACGAAATTGAGAAATTTGAACTAGATTATTTTGTTGTTGTTGCGTAAAATAGAAAGCCTCTAAGTTCCAATCAAAATAAAATGAATTGTTTGTTTTTTAATTTTTTTTTTAAATAGAAGATTTCAACCGCCTTAGGATAATTTAAATGTATGGAAGGCAGCAGGAAGTTTGCATGACATGCTAAGTATCTGAGAAGCGCAGCAAAACAATAGGTTTGGTACACAAACATGTTCTGAAAGATTGGAGAGTACTCCCCCCCCCACCCCGGCCTCCCCTCCCCCCATGATTAAACATCCCGGCTTGTTTGAATGTAGCTGTCTGAAAGAAAAGATTAGAACCCAGATCTGAGAATGTTTGTCCAAGTTCAGAATCGCCTAAAACTCTTATCACGAAGGCAGTAGGAGACAGCTTGCGGCCATTATTCCACTTATCCATTTGGACAGATGGGCCTGGAGTGTGCTGTGCCTCTCTCCCACCCCCTCCAATGGAGGTTAGTGGAGGGGCTCTTGGGCTGGTCTCCTTGGCACAAGAAGTATGCCAGTCATAAATTATCGTCTTTGTAATCATTCAGGATTGCAAACAAAAACACGAGTTTGAGGAGGCCGCTCCTGCTGACAGCCGAAATCAGAATTTCTTTCCTCCGTGTTTCTTTCATTGGGGCGGGGGTGGGAGGGGTGGAAAACGCTTTAACTTTCGACACAGACCAAAGACACCTTTTTCTCCCTCTGAAAAACATGTGTGATCTAAAAGGGAAGGATTCCCAGTCAGACCCGAAGCTGAGTGTTTGGTTAGCAATCTGTTTAAGCAATCAAGGGCTTATCAATATTAATTTGATTAACCTTCTCTGCTAACTTTTTGGTTTCCCTCTGCTTCTAAGATTGGTCACGCTCGGTTGATGGAGGTCATTTGGAAATCTTCACCTTTTCCTAAAGATCTGTGTGTGTTTGCCGTTTTCTTTGGAAGGTGTGACATTGTTTTGGTTGGATGCAAAAAGGCGTGCGCACAAACAGGCACACAAACAGGCACACAAACAGGCACACAAACAGACACACAAGCATGCACATTCCCCCCTCCCCTCTCTCCCCTTATTTTTTCCCCCAGACTCTCTTTTAAGAGAAAATCCTTAGAGAAGCTTCTAGGAAGGACCCTTAATTGACCTTGTGGGGGACCACATTGATTTTCTCCACGTGCATCTTCATTTTTGATAAATTATAAAGCCATTAATTTGCTGAGGCAATGGTGGGGCCAGGCTGCCACCCAGATGTGACCAGAGCAGAGGCCCAGCGTCTGCTGCAGGCTGCCAAGATCCAGGAGAGGAAGCGGGAATGTTATGGTTAGCCACACGCTCTCTTGGGAACCGTTGGCGTCGCGGCTGTTTACAGATCTAAAAGGTAATGATGTTTCCAGATAAATAGGCCTTCGTATTTGGGGTAAGTGGCCGTTTATTGATCTGCTAACCCACACTTATTGATTCCTCAGCCCCAACCACTGGGGTGCTCTCAGTGGAGTTAACTAGAAATCCAGGAGAGGCAAATTGTATTTGGTTTGGGGGTGATGGTGGTAGTGTAGTAAGTGCACGCCTTCCCCTCCCCTGCTCTCGGGTACCTGGGCCACCGCCCCGTCCCTCGTCCCTCGTCCGTCCCTCTCCCTCCCGAGTCAGAGCTGCTGTTGGGAGGAAACCACAAGTGGCTCTGCAGACTAGGAAGGCAGGAAGGGGAGAACGCTGGAGGGAAGGCCAGTGGGATGCACCCACAGGCGTCCAGCAACTGGCCGCGCAGCGTGGGGTGTGCACTTTGGGTGCTGGGTGCCTTTGTCTCCTTAGCAACAAGTGAACATATGGATAGCAGGGAAGGTCCTCGAAGGCAGAAGGAAGTGGGACTGGTCCTCAGCAACCGAGCCTTGGTTCCACAGTGCTGCCTGCTGCCTGCCTCCTGGGCCTCAGGTCCTTCCCAGTGGGGGCAGGGACGTCTGGAGCCCGTGGCAGCACCCCTGCCCCATGTTCCAGAATCTCGGTGGCTGTTCAGTGGGTGTCCAGGTTCTTGGCGAGGGAGGGGGAGCGTGAGGGTGTGCGTCCGTGTGTTGCCAGAAACCTTTTCCTTAACCAGCGGCATCCCACATGCAGGAAGGGCTGTCACCCAATCACTTGAAAAAGGCCAAGCTCATGTTCTTTTATACCCGTTACCCCAGCTCCAACATGCTGAAAACCTACTTCTCCGACGTGAAGGTAGGGATGCGTTTTTTTCTTCACTGTCTTTTTGTGGTGGCAGGGCTGGGGAGGGGGGTTTGAGCACTTGAAAGGGAGGGATGCTGTGTGGGGAAGGGGGCCCGTTGCACCTCTGGGTGGCTCCCGATTGAATGCATGGTTTCTAGTCAAGGGTCTGCCAGACGGGGTCCCTGGGGCTTTGGGGTCAAAGGGCCAGTGGCCCTCAGCTCTGGGACAGATGTTTCCAGGGTTCCAGGGTGGGACTGCAGGGCAGTGGGGGGGGGGGGGGGGGTATGTTCTTTCCCTTCCACTTCTCTCAGTAGCCGGAGAGCTGTCCTTGTTTCTGTTGTGCTTTCTGGTGCTTTCCTGTATTTGCGCCTATGAAAGAAACTCAGGCACGGATCTTCCCCTGTCGAAAAGGAGCGTCCATTGAAATTCTTTCTGCGGTAGCTGCTTAAAAACACAAGTGATCATTGTCTTTTATTTACAACTTAATTTGTTGTTGGTGTAGAGTACACTGAGCATACGGAGGATGAATAAAGTGACAGATTCGGGACACATTATTCAAATGAGGATATGAAAGCTGTCGGCCCCCAGCTGCAGCCTCCCTCATTCTGCTGTACGTAGGGACCGCCTGGTTCTGTGTGTGCGTGCACGCGTGCCTCTGTGTGTGTGTGTGTGTGTGTGTGTGTGTGTTTGTGTGTGTGTGCGCGCGCGCGCTTGCATGCATGTTTGTAGGCAGGCACCTGGCTGTGTCTGTGTGGGTTTAAAGCAATTGTTTGCTTCCAGTTGCTGTTGTGCTAATCATCTGTAACTTTTTAAAACACAGATTGGGCTTTGATGATGATAACGGAGTGCATGGTGTCATTATCCACGAGACGCCATAAACATGACATTAGCCGGGATTGGTTTATTAGGGCTGGTGCGTTCTCCCCACTCCCCTCCCCCAAAGCCCACCCCCACAGGGCAAGGTTTTATTTCTGAGTTCTGGGGGCTGGGGGAGGAGGGGAAACTCGCGCTCTGCCCAGACCTTGGTTCCTCTCTGTGCCCACTACTCCTCCACCTGCTGGCCAATTTGTTTTCATTTCTTTCGCTGCTGTTTTATTTGGCCTTATAGGAAAAGTTCTGTTTCCCCTCCTGTTTGCTTTTGAATTGTGTACCAGTTTCAGCTTTTACTCTCTCTCCGTCTCTGGCTGCACTCTTGAAGTGGAAGGTCTGTATTCTGCCCGTTCCTGCCAACCAGTGGGGTGGGAAGGGAGGCTGAGAAGGGAAATGTCTTCAAGAGCTCGTTCAGACTCTCTGAGCCCAACCAGGGCAGAGAGACCTCGGGAACCTGGATGGGACTTGCTGGGCAACCGTCCAACCTTGGTAACTAGAAGTGGAGTGTTCACTGGTGGATGTCTGCTGGTTTCTAGACTTCTAGAACCTTTTTCCAGGGAAACCTCCCAGCATAGCGTTGGTTGCACTGGGAGGTGGTGAGCGTGGCGAGCACGGCTGCCTGCCGACCTCCAGCCCAGCCCCTTGGTCCAGTGACCTTCTCATGTGACCCAGCTATGATTTATCCCGCACCTTTCATTCCCAAGGCCTCAGGAAGGTTTTGCAAAGCACCGCCTGAGGGATGCTGCCTTGGCCTCGATGGGAAGCTGCTTGAGGCCTGGGGAGTAGCCACTAAGGTTGGATAATAGACATTTTTTTCTGGAGTGCGAGCATGTACTAGTGTGCACACTGGAGTGTGCATGAGTGTGTGAGCATGTGTGAGTGTGAGTGTGTGTGAGGGAGCATGTGGGAGCATGCAACTATGTGTGAGGGGTGAGAGTGGGTGTGTGTGCGTGAGTGCATGAGCGTGCATGGGTGTGTGCACGTGGATGAACGTACAAGAGTGCACGAGTGTTTGTGCACGTGGATGTGCTTGGGTGAGTGTGTGTATGCATGTGGGCGCATGGTGAGTGCACGTGTGAGCGTGTGAATGTGTGTGCATGTGTGTGCATGTGCAGGAGGGTGCGTGTGTGGTGGGGGTGGCGGGACTTGGTTAGTTTAGTGCTTCTAAATTTGGTGCAGTACAAACCAATCAAAGCTGGCATTAGGCCCTTCAGCTTTGCAGACCATCACTCTGAGGAAAGAACATGAAAATACTGGCGTGAATCTTTCATTTAAAGTTTGAGAAAGGGAAGTAAATTTGATTTCATCTGTAAAAATTAAATAAATAAATAAATAAATAAATAAAATGAAGTGTGAGCCTCAGGTGGGCTGGAGCGATAGCACAGCAGTAGGGCATTTGCCTTGCACGAGGTTGGCCCAGCCAAGCCGGGTTCGATTCCTCCACCCCTCTCAGAGAACCCGGCAAGCTACCAAGAGTATCTCGCCCGCACGGCAAAGCCTGGCAAGCTCCCCGTGATGTATTCAATATGCCAAACACAGTAATAGCAAGTCTCAAAATGGAGACGTTACTGGGCCTGCTTGAGCAAATCAGTGAACAACGGGAGGACAGTGCAGTGCTACAGTGAGCCTCAGGTGGCTGAGTCTGACCGCTTGCTCCGGAGTTGGTGGGGAAGGCTTTGCTTGGGACCTGGTCTCACTTTCAGTTATCCACTAGAATGGAGGGGAGCCATGAGGGCAGATAATTCTTTGGAATAAATTCTAAACGTTCAACTTTCCTTGTTGCAGTTACGCCTCTGCCTTCAGTCAAGACTCAGTAGATTTGTGTTCCCTGAGCTCATGCTGACAAATCCAGGCAAGGTGTTCCAGAAACATCCTAGAATTCAGTGATAGGGCACTCCCGGATTTCTTTAGTGTCAAGGAAAGTCCAGATTGAACTAGTGATGACACATAGGGGCACATTCACCTCTAGGGACACTGTGCTAAGAAGCATTCAGCAAGATGGAGTGACTTACTAGCAAAGCCTAAGAAGCTAGACAGATTCTCTGAAAATAGGTGAATATATATATTTGAATATTTATTTTGGCTCAGATGAAGGAAGCCACTACAGTCTCACACAATCCTGAGACCCTGGGCATTCTTTAAAAATCAGAAATGAAACCCTGCCTCATACATCTTGAGACCGGTGGACGTATCCATGTTCCCAATGGGCCTGACCACTCTGGCTACTGTGACCCAAGCCCTGTTCAGATCCCGACCCAAACCATCAAGATCTGCACCCAAAACAGACAGTGGGGTTAGTTTTACAAGTAGGGAGAAGCCAGTGGGGAGGTTCTGTATAGTGAGCAGGATGGTGTCCGCCTTTTCACCCTGCAGGTGCTTCTCCGCCCACAGTTAACTGGGGGGCTTATGAGATGGATGCTTTTCTGTCACCCTGGGGGGAGAGAGGTGGAGGAGCCCCACTTAGTTTGCACATACCAGCTCGGAAAGCGAGACCCTTTAGGAAGGATAAGAGTAGGGTGACGAGGCAGGGCTATAAGCAGACCTTCAGTCTCCCGCAGCAACTCGCAGACAGAAAACCCCCTCACTTGGGGGCCTCAGGTGCTTTGAGACAGGCTGGGGTACCCTGGTGAGGACCTTGTAGGTTTGTGGGTGTCTGTCCAAGCAGGAACTAACAGCATTATCCCCCAGAGCCCAGAGCTTCAGAGCAACGGTTCCAGTGACAGTCTCTGCCTACCCCAGTCACCTGCTGCCCGCTGCCCAGATGATAGGTGTCAGGCTGATTTTCCTTATGCATCTTTTGACCATGCTCACTGAATATGCAGAAAGTTTCTTCTGCCATATTGAGGCTGAGCTGTCCCAGGGGAGGCATCCGTCTCCGTCACAGGGGCCCACACCCGGTGGAAACACAGCATCTTTATTGTGGCCATTAGTTTTCTGCAGTAACACATTAACACACCACAGAGCTTTCCTTGGTATAACAATTGATCCTGTGCTTGGAAGTCACTACAGAACCTGGGAAATTAACTCTTTAAAGCAGTGACCCCCCCCCCCCGCCTTCCTTCATCTGGGGGGAGTATCTGGAAAAGGAGGGGAGGCGCCTGCCTTTATCTCGCTTGGGCTGACCGCAAACGCCTCCCACATTCAACTCACTTCTGGGGGTGGGGGGGAGCTAGCTGCTGGCTTGGTCCTGGAACCGTTCTGCCGGCCGTTTTGCTTGTGTGATGTTTGGGGAGTCTGTTGTTCTCGTCCATTCTTCCTCCCCGGTATTTCCATTCACCAACAATAAGCTTTAAATCTCCCTTTATGTCCCGGTCCTGAATAATGGTGAGTGTACTTACTTTTTCTGTTCTCCCCCATTAGGTCATTCATGACCATTCTAGAAAAAAAAAAAACCTCCTATTTTTTCCCTCTACAGTCCTCTTGTCCATATGAGACAATGTCTTGTAACAATGCCGAAGTCTAATCTCCATGTCAAAGCAATTTTCATTCCCCAGTGCACAGCCTGCTATCATTTTGTAATGTTTTGTTTCTTATTCTAAAAGAATTAAAAAGGAACAGTAAGCCGTCACGGGGGCCTGCGGTCCTTATCTCAGTGTCTGGAAATTTGGACAGTGTATTTTACCGCTGAGATAAAATGGAAAGAGCTCCAAGTTCAGCAAATCGTAATGGGTTTAAGTTCTATTGAAATCGGCAACCAGAAGATCAGATAACGGGGGTCTTTCAGTTGTCTTTTTAATCGGGTTCCCCGCAAGGCTGAATAGAGGCGAAGCAGACACACGGAGTGAAAATATAATTCTTGGATAGGTTAAGTACATGTTTGAACTCTTGCAAGCAGAAACGATTTGCTGATGACTTAATCATTTTCTGGTCAATTATCTGCGAGGGCCTTGCAACTCCATAGCAATTAGGATGCAAGTTGGCCTTTTGGGAGAAACACCCCTCTCCCTGCTTCTGTCTCCTGGTTCCTTCCTTTCCTGGCCATAAATCCTCCTTCATTTATTATCTCGGTGGAGAAACAACTTTCTCTGTGGACATGACGGCCCGGCATGCAGGTCAGCTATCGTGGTGCGTGCCTTGCTGCTTTCCGGAACCTGCAGTCCCTAAGTGTTCTTTGTGATGAGTGCCCCCCATCTTTTTACTGGAGGGGGACCCCAGGAGTGGGGAGGAAGGCCAATGATGACAAAAGGCAGGGGGTATCTGTCACCCAGTGTGATAGGAAGCTCTGGATCCATTGGTTCTGACTTGGCATCTGAGATGCATCTGTCCTCTGGGTGAAGGTCCATGTCGAGAATGACAGCAGGCAGAGGCACGTGCAGGCCTCTGGGAAACCAGGCAAGCAAAGTTTTGAAGCCTCCTCATGGTATCGCAGACTTGGCATTTTAAAAAGATGCCAGTTAAGGCTGCCGATGCCACCTGGGCACCTAGTGCTGGCCACACCTTCCCAGTAGCCCAGTTGCCCAGGGAAGGGGTGCTCCAGCCTTGTCCGCCATGGCTGTGGTGAGTGTCTACTCACTGGGTCTGAGCTGACAGACTAATAAAGCAGGTTACGCCCGCACAGCCGGTGGCCAGAGAGCCCACCCTTAGCACCAGTAAGCAGATGCTGCCCTGGCTTAGCAGGCCTTCCTCCAGCCCTGAAGGTGGGTAGACACACGAGTTCTCGCTTGAAGAGTTGCAAAAGATGGGCGCAAGACAGCACTGCAGTCAGGGCACATGCCTGACCTAGGTTGGGTTCTCGATACCACACAGTGCCTACAGCATGGCCGGGTGCAGCCCTGAAGGCTCCCAGCACTGGAGTGCCCTGGTGTCCCTGGCACTGCAGGGCTGAGCAGCACCGTGTCCCCAGGTCTTTGTGCTAAACTGATGGCCCAGTGGCAGAGAATTGCCCAGGTTGTGGGGTGGTGCCCGACCTCCTGAGAACTGCTTAGGATCCACACCCCCCCCCCCCCCAAATGAAAACTAAAGAAAAGAAGCAAGAAATCAGGCCAGTAACAATCCCTCCTTGTGCACGCAGCCAGGTGCTTCCCAGAGCTCCCGGGCTCATGAGAATCTATGGGGTCCATTTGGTTCTGCCAAGACACTGTGTGCCATATTCCAGCTAAGAGAAAAACTCTGCAGCTGAATGCAGGGCAGGGCTTAGGGTGGAGAGGCCACCAGGGGACTTCCTTTGTGGAGGCAGTTTCAGGTGGCCCTGGTTCTGGTGCCATTGGCACGGACCTTTCCTGGGAGTTCTGATGGTTCCTCCCCAGGAACGGTGAGGGTCTGTGAGGCCCAGTGTCCTCACCTGCCTTCTCCTCTCCCAGTTCAACAGGTGCATCACCTCCCAGCTCATCAAGTGGTTCAGCAACTTCCGTGAGTTCTACTACATCCAGATGGAGAAGTTCGCACGCCAGGCCATCAATGATGGTGTGACGGGCACGGACGAGCTGTCCATCACCAGGGACTGCGAGCTCTACCGGGCCCTGAACATGCACTACAACAAAGCCAACGACTTCGAGGTAGGGCTGGGCCCCTACTTCCTCCTGCTCCAGAAGCTTTCTGAGTGTGTCGGTGAGAAGCCCTCGCCGCTGGGGTCTTCAGCAAAGCCCCTTCCCCTCTCCCCTCTCCGCTCCTGGCCTCCAGGGATGGGCCAGCCCTCAGAAAGAGCAAGGCAGGAGGGGCCGGCCAGGACAGCACTGCTCCCGCTGGGTCCCCACTGCCCGCCACCTACCACCTCTGAGAAAGCCTGCAGTGGGGTCCCCAGACCCTTCCACGCGGTTCTCTGCTCAGTGAGCTTGAGCAGGTCGCTCAGCGCCCTCCCGTGCTGCTCTTGTCATTCTGTTGGGAGGGTTCAGGAGGGCCCGGGGCAGGGCTGGGGACAGTGTGACTCACCAGCACTGAATTGTCAGGTCCTTCTTGTGCACACACGTGTCTGTCTCCAACATGCGTGTTCTGGACTTAGCACAGGGCTGCGGTTCCTGGAAGCTGGGGTCACCTGGCAAGAGGGGCCACCAGGCAGCCTGTTCCCAGTGTGCTCACGGGTCCCGGGCGCCAGCCCAGGAATGCACGTGGGCATCTCGCGGAGTTCTGTGACTGAGGTGCACGCAGGGCTCCTGGCTGGGCCCCGGAGCCAGGTGGGGGCACACGCATCCGGCTCACCCGCACCCCTTGGAGGGCTGGAGGCAGCTATCCTGCAGCCCAAAGGCCCCATTATCCCACGGAGCCAAGAGAGAGGGCCCTGGGGTGGTCTGCCCAGCCCTGCCCCTCCCCACTCACACCTTCATGTGGGGGCACATGTACCACACCTGCTTCCCTCTCTGAGCTGTGCAGAGCAGTCATGGTGACTGAGGGGTTGCTGATCTCAGGCGTGTGTGTGGCGGGGGTTCAGGGCTCGGTGGTTCTTTGAAAGGTGCAATGATGATGGTCAGATGGTCCTATTCCTGAGAGTAATTGTCAGGATGGGCGGTGAGCATGGATCTGGTGGTGGGTGTGGGGGGCTGTTCTCTTTAAAAGTAAGCAGAAGAGGGGCCTGAGAGTCAGCACAGGGGTTAAGGCACTTGCCTTGTGAGTGGCAACCCAGATTTGCTCCCTGGTACCCCCCCCCCCAGAGTTCTCTGAGCCCTGCCAGGAGTGAGCCTTGAGCCCAGAGCCAGGAGCAAGCCCTGAGAAGATCTGGGTCTGCCCCCACACCCCTCCCTCCAAACATTAGGCAAAATGGTTTGAAAGTCTGTTGTCACTGAGCCTGGCTTACTCCGCAGGCAGAGCATTCTAGAAGATGGAAGTGTGAGACTTGGTCCAAGCACCTTCCATGTGCCTTGGTATCAGCCTCATCTTCCCCCACCCCACACCCTGTCAGGCTCTACAGAGACGTTGCCTGGCAGGTGGTGTAGACTGCCAAGGATCTGTGTGTGTGTGACCTGTACCCACCCAGCAGAGTTGCTGTTCAGGCTACGTGCCTGCATGTCTACAGCTCAGTGCTGAGAGGAGGTGGGGTACCAGGGGTCTGTCACACCCCGTCCCTGCTCCAGGGTCAGAAGCAGGGAGCAGGGCAGGCTGGCAGGGGAGGCCCCAAGCGCCTCCAAACTCCTTCCCAGTCACCCAACAGAGGCTTCTCTGCATTCGCCTCCAGCATTATCTCGGGTCTATTTTAAGAGCGCTCTGGGTGAGGAGTTGGGGCCCGGCGGTGCGATGGCGCTGCCCTTGCCACCAGCTCTCAGGAGCTTCTGGGCCTCATTCTTTGGGCAGAGAAGTTAGCTGTCCCCACTGAGATGGGGTGCACATACTGACCCTCCCCACCCCCGGGTCCCCCAAAGCTCTGCTCATCAAGCCCCACCTCCAGGCAATGGCAGTGATAACAACGGAGGGTCTGGTCTGACTCTTCCCTCCCCTGGCTTTGTGCCTGGAGGCCAGTGCTAAAGGGGGAAGCTTAAAAGCCAGAAGCGTGGGCTGTCACTTAACACGGTGGCCCATCACCTCCAGCTCCATCCAGTCCCTGAACCGTGGCATCATCTTAAGTTTCTTGGCCTTAGTGTGAATCAAGGAAGCTGCTTTGGCCCAGGATAAGCAGGGGACAGGACCCCAGGGTGAGCAGGAGATATGACCCCAGGGTTTGCAGCAGATAGGATGCTGGGAGGGACCCCTTGCCACACCTCTGCAGCTCAGCCTAAGTGCAGCCGAGGGGAGGGAGTGGCATTTCCCAGTGTCCATCCTATGTCCTGCCCAGGCTGGGGAGATAGCTGAGGGCTCAGGGCCATGTGCAAGGACCCAAGTTCGATCCCCGTTGCTGCCAAGGTGTACCAAGCAACCCTTCGCTGCGATGCCCCAACTTTGCATCCTTGTGTAGGCAGGAGCAGTACCTTGGCCCCTGAACCTTCTTCCAGGGACCCCCAAAACATACACATACACCCCCTAAGGAAAAGGCTGATCCCCCTGAGTTCTTTGCATTTTCCCAGATCTGCCTGGTGTGGACGATCAGACTACAGACAGACAGGCAGACAGAAAGACAGGGGGGTGGTCTGTGGCTTTCAAACCCCACCATCACTCCAGCAGTGGTCCAGGGGCCCCAGACAGAGAACGGGGTGTTGGGAGAAGGCTGAGCCCTGCTGTCACCCATCTTTTCCTCCTTCTTTCCTCTTCCTGCTCTGCCCTGTCCCTCCCTCCATCAGGGACCCTTGTTGACAGGTGACTCCCACCTGCCTCTGCCCCTGGCTCCCCAGGGAACAGTGAGGTCTTCTCAGTGGACGGGATGGTGGCGCCTGCACCCATCATTCCTCCTCTGTTTGCCAGGCCTGTGTCTCCTTTTCCCCTAAACCTCAGTTTCTGGGCCTCTTCCTTCGTATCCTGTGCCTCCTCCTCTGAACCCCACGTTCCCAGGGACTGCTTTGCCACCGAGCCTTCTTCTCCCCCTTGTCTGGCCCTGTTCCCCGGACCTGCACCCCCTCCTCTGAGCCCTGCCAAGCATCTGTGCATATGGACATCCAGATTCTTGACATGCAGACTTGGGATGGTGGGAGCTTGCAAGGGCCCTGAGTGTGGGTGAGGGCGTGTCAGGGGGAGCCCAGCCTCTGCGCTAGTCTGCGCCCGACAGTGATGGGGTGTGCACAGCCCAGAGACCCTGCCCCACCCCCACTTCTCATACAGGTAGGGGTAGCAGCACCCTGTGGCTCCCCGTGTCCAGCCTGTTTCTCTCGTGGGATAGCGTCAGACTTTCTGTTCCGTGGGGGGAGTGGCGGTCCCCCATTCAACCACAAGATGCTCTGACTTGGAGGAGAGGTGGGTGGGGCATCCCGTAAGCCTTTGTTGCCCTCACAGCCATAGTGAGAGAGACAATAAAGGTCACTGAGCCTCTGTTGGGTGCTCGGGCCAGTTCTAGAGGTCTCCCTCCCAGGCAGACCTTCCCCAAAGGCCCAGGCTTAGGGACATGACCCTGCTTTGAGCCTGTAGGAACTGTTTCTTTCACGACTAGATTTCCCCATTGCCCATCTGCCTGGCATCAGGGGCAGCAGAGGGAAGCACTCAGCTGCATGCTAGCATCCCACACACATGTGCTCGGACATGTGTACACACATGGGCACACACAGATGTGCCCACATATATACCCCATCCAGACACGCGGTATACATACACACAGACAAGGGTAGTACACGTGTGCACATGCTCCCATGTGCTGCCACACACATTTGCACACGATATACACGTGTACACATGCGCAGATGTATATGAACATGATCGTGCTTATGTGGACACAGGTGCCATGCACACCGACAATGCACAGACATGCACACTTGGGCCGGCTCACACATGCACGCAAGTGCAGACACACTCACTTGCCATATATACACAACACCAGCATGCACACCCAGGCTGGCTCCTATGTGCACACAAATGCAGGCACACATGCACACACACACTTCTGAGCACCTGCCAAGGGTCTTCTCTCTCCCACACCTTCCTCTGTGCCCTGCCCACCACCGAGTGTGCACACAGTTCAGATTTAGTGCGTTTGGAAGTCTCTCACCCGCATCGTCATCTCTTTAAAGAAAAAAATGAGGGCAGGTGGGTTTGGGAAGCGCTTCCTCTGCTCCAAATAGACACTTAAATATGAGTGATCATTTGGAAAACTGGCACATGAGCAAGAGCCGTTCGCTGCTGCTCCTGTCTCTTGGCCTCAAAGCTGCTGAGCCGTTTAAACGATCACACGACACACTCTTGGTGGGTGGCGAGAAGGCAAAGAAACCCTCACACCATTTCTTTCCTTGCCAGTCCACCCCCGACAAGCCAAATGGGCCTTTTAAGAGACTAAATGAATGTGCTCCGAATATGTGCTCGCACATGGCTGTCTAGGGGCGCGCTCCTGGGACCCAGCGCCGGCCTGGAATTTGGAGATGAGGTGGTAGGGGCTGTGGGTTCAGGAGGAGGCTGCAGGGGGCGGTGTGGGAGTCGCGTGGGGGTGGGGAATTCTGTGCCTGCGTGTGCAGCTTTGCTGTTTTTTTTTTTCCCTTTCTCTGCTGGCCTTTTGGGATTCAAGGTGTTGATGGGTATAATGAAGTGGGGCCGATTGATTTCTCATCTGTTTGGTAATGTCACTGCATCTGCAGCGCCCTGGGTCTTTTTGTCATGGGGTTACATTCAAACCCAGTGAGTTCAACTTTCAAACCTCCTTACTCGACACTTTTATTAGTGATCGTCTCCCCTGACCTTTTCCACATCCTTAAAGAAAAACCTCGAGCCGGGCCTGTCGCCTTCCTTGGCTTATTGTCCTTTGTTGGGGGGAACAAAGCGGGTCCCGCAGGGGTGATCGCCCATAATTATACAGCTTTCCATGACGGTGTCTTGGCACATCGCAAAGTTCAGAGGAGCTTTTAGAATGAAAAAAAAAAAGATGTTTTGTGGAGGCCCATGCGGGGTCTCATCTTTCCTTCAGACAAGAGTTCAAGGCTCCTCCTCAGGCTTCCCCACGCCGAGCTTTTTCTCCTCCTGCTTCATAAAGTTGAAAGAGGCTTCGGTGGGGTCTTATGAT